TTCCAGTCAGATTTAGGTTGACGGACTTCTCTTTGTTTCTTCGACGACATTACTCATCCACAGCAGCAGTTGTGAGCTAGATAAACGAAGAACAAAAAAGAAAGGAATAAAAACATACAACAGTGAGGATTCGCTGGTGGTCACCCACCCAACTACTAACTCACCGGCGTGTGGCTTAAGTACGGCTGAGCGGACGGGAAGCCCTGTTTTCCACACCCTATGGTCGTATGTGTCAGGTTCCGTGTGGAAGAGGACTATATGGGACCAAAGGATGGGTGTAGGTAGTGTGTGATAATATGGAAAGGTAAGTGCACCCAACCCTCTATCGAAACCCATGGTGCAATCTATGTATGGAAATAAGGTAGAGCACCCGGGAAAAAAAAAAATTCTAGACCACGACAATAGCGCAGTCCATGCAAATTGTATGTTATATTAAGTTTTCTTAGTTTGCCTAGACTGGAAAAGGAGCGGATTTTGTCATTTTAGCCAGTCCGAGAGAACTCGGAATGTTTTTCATGCCCTATCTATTGGTAATTCCATCCAGTGTTGAAACCATAGATCTCTGTCAAACATTTCTGGTGTGCATTAAGATACGGAGCTCCAGAGAAGAGAGTTGAACCATATCTCTAGGAGGATGAATAAGGAGAGATTTTGATTCCGCTTCAATGAGCTTACATAGATATATTTATCATGCATACCTAGTTTACCCTCCCTATAAACTCTCTTGGGTTTCCCACAAGTAATCCCCCGCGGCTCGTGGGTGGGGTCTGCGCTCGGGGCTTGGCGGTAACAAGTACCAACAAGTGCACCTTGATGGGAATACACTAGACCGATAGCCTCTAGGGACAGAGCTCCACTGACCTGTGCTGTCGTTTCAGAGTTTCGCCAAATGTAACCTAAGGCGATGGTCTAATCCTTAATAGCACGCTTAATCAAAGGTCATCGTACTTAGCCTATTGAATTCATTTTGGAAGATAGGCTTGGTCGTATTCCTTGCCTAGAAAAGATATCCTATAGCCCTTCTCTTTGACTGTGAACTTGATCCGACCTGACTTGAATTTCACTCTAACGATAATTTGACAGAGTCGGGAAGTGTACCCTGCGACCATTAGAGAAAGTTACATGCACGTGCTGTTGGCTTGAACAGAGGGGGGGAGGACGAAAGAGGGGAAAAGGAAGAGAGCAAAAGAAAAAAAAACAAAACAAAACAGCCTGCTCTCCTCGTAACGAATCGGCGGCACAAACCCCGGAAGGATTAGATGCAAATCCGGTCGAACATCCAGAAGAAAAGTGAAAACCTACGACCTGAGTTACGGGCGATTCGGGGTTCCGCCGGAAGTCCGATTGCCAAGTGGCTACGGATCGTGGGCCGGGGGGGGGGGGGGGGTTCTCAGGCCCTCTCGCCTGATCTAAAAGAGCCACACTGCATATACAAAATACATCCTCAAGAATATCAGATACGCTTTTTCGGGGTCTGCGTCGAAAGTGGCGTTCTTTGATTTCAACAATCCCAACAGGGAAGACTGTTCAAACCAATTTCCATGATAATGATAATAGTGCGTGGTAAGGAACCCACAATGGGAAGTCAATGGGTCCGAGCTCTCCGGGGCTGGTATGTTAACATCTTAGAGGGAAATGTTACCATCAGGGCCAAATAAGGAACTCGCAAAAAATCTATACAGAGCTTAATTAAATTATTGTGGCATGAGACAAAATAAGATTGTATCGCCTCAAGTGCAGTGGCTCATTTTAAGGCTGCATGGTATCATGCAAATAGTTGCCCCAATGCTCCGATTAGAATGTACTTTCTCAGAGGTTGGATTATAAGAAGTCCGGAGGGCCTAAGGAAAAAAAAAAAAGCAGGCGCGATTAACTTCACAGCCATCTCCCCAAGCATGCCTGAGTCCCGTGTAGAGACCAGTGATATCTCGGTGGCGAGCCAGGAAGCCATCGGTGAAAAGACCGCTGCTACTGTGCTCTCTACCAAAGATGAGCTTGGACTTGCGAAAGAGAATGTGGACAGCAATCCAGATGCGGTGATCATTACCGGTGCTGACGCAGCGATTCATCTGTTGTCTCTTCGAGACGACTTTGATAATGTCTTGACTTTCCGCAGCATATTACTTGCTTCTGGCCTGGCGTGTTTCCAGGCTGTGATGAACCAGATTTACCAGGTACTTTCCATTTTCGTTGATTTCCCGCATAGAGACTAATGGATCGATCGATAGTTCAAACCGACCCTGGTGACGATTCAGGGAACCTTCATTGTGCTCATCTCCTACTTCGTCGGCAATGCCTGGGCTAAATTCCTTCCCCGTGGCGACAAATTCGAAGCTCGCTGGAGGGCAAAAGGTGGCCAGGGAAAGCTACCTTTGTGGATCACGGTGATGAAATTCCTCAATAGCGGGCCATGGACTCTCAAAGAGCACGCGATCTGTTCGATCACTGCTACATCGGCCTCGAACGCGGCGCCTACCTCACAGGTCTTTGCAGCGCAGGATCTATTCTACAATCTTCCCCTGAGCGCGGCTACGGTGATCTTGAGTATGATCTCTATCGGTCTTTTTGGCTACGGAATCTGTGGAATTCTGCGCCCAATCGCTGTCTGGCACACCGAGGCTGTCTACTGGAGTAATTTGCCTACAGTTAAGACGCTCCAAGGACTTCACTGGCAGGAAGTCAAGAACTCGAAACCACTCAGATACTTTTGGTATGCATTCACTGGCATGTCGCTATACGAGACCATTCCCGCCTACATCTTTCCATGGCTAAACTCTGTTTCTATTCCGGTATGTGGTTTTCAATGCCGTCACGATCTATTCGGACAAAGGCTTTTAATTTTGGAACCTTTTTTGAGGATTATAGTTGTTGACTTCAGGCTTTGTAGTGTCTGGCTGCACAAAAAGCTACTGGCGAAAAAGCTGCTATCCTCAACAATATCTTTGGTGGAGCCACCAACAATCAGGGTCTTGGTCTATTCTCATTTTCATTTGATTGGCAATATGTGAGATGGTCCCCCCCCCCTCTAAACCCAATCTAATCCCCCCACGTTGCTCGAGCAAGTCATCTAACAGAAGCAGCTCACATCTTTCCAAACCTCGCTTCCTCTTAAACTCCAAGTTCATCAGGCCGCTGGACTCTTTTCCTGCTTTATAATTATGATAGGCATATATTACGGCAATGGCTGGAACTCACGAGACCTTCCCTTCATGTCGACGAGAATGCTCATGAATAACGGCACCGCATACCCCTTGGACAACGTTTTCCCCGGTGGTGTCCTTGACAAGACCGCCTTGGTTAAATATGGCTTACCAAGGCTCACTGGCACGTTCGCATTCGCGATGTTTATGGCCAACGCAGCAATGGGAGCCCTGATCGCTCATTGTATCCTCTTTTGGGGCAAAGATATCCGGCGGGCCTACAAAAGCGCGAGAGAGGGTAGATACGATGACCTACACCATTCGCATATGGCCAAGCATTATAAAGAGGCTCCGTGGTGGTGGTATATCTTCGTGCTTGTTGTCAGCTTTATTCTTGGCATCATTGTGACTGTGAAAGAGAACATCACCTTAACACCTTGGGCATACGTAATCTCACTGCTGCTAGGATGCATCCTCGCTCCATTTGTGAGTCAAATTTCCTCGAATCCGATCTTCTTGCGGTGACGCTGACTATGACCGTGCTACAGAGTGTCATCCTGTATTCTCGCTACGGTAATGGTATTGCTACCAACAATTTGTCAAAAATGCTGGCTGGACTTATCCTTCCTGGACGCCCGGTCGGTAACATGTACTTCGCTGCTTGGTCGCATAACGTCATTTCAAATGCGGTTAATCTCTCCAGTGATCTGAAGATGGGCGAATATCGTGAGCATCTCCGTCGTTCTTTGCGTTCAGAGTTGTCTTATGTTGCTAACTTTTCGTTTAGTCAAGATCCCTCCCCGCATCATGTTCCTAACACAAATCTATGGAACCGTTCTTGGTGGCTTCATCAACTATGCCATCATGATCTCTATTGTGACAAGTAACCGAGAGCTTCTCATCAGTGGCAATGGAAACTCCTCTTGGAGTGGTGCAGGTATACAATCTTACAACACCAATGCCGCATCATGGGCTCTGGCTCCGTACATCTATAAGGTCGGTACCCCATATGGGGCTGTACCTGTTGGTTTGGCCGCTGGCGCTGCTGCTGTGGTTATTCACCGAATCTTTTATCAAGTGAGTAATCCCACCGCCCTTTTCTATTTTATTCTGAAGCTGATGCTTGTTTAACGTTCAGTTTGTGCCCAAGATTGGAAAGCTCGATGTCTCGGAAATTAATTTACCGCAGTACATCCAGTATGCTGGTTTCATTCCCTACAACCAAAGCCAGACCTGCGTCCTCTTCACCTGGATGGCTGCCGGGTTCTACGTTCAGTATTATCTCCGGAACTACCGGCCGCGGGTTTTCAGGGATTATTCGTATCTGATTACGGGAGCCTTTGATGGCGCCAGTCTGACGGTTCTCTTCATCCTCTCATTTGCTGTTTTCGGAGCTGGTGGAAAATCGCACCCATTCCCGTCATGGTGGGGAAACAACGAGAATGGAAACTATGATTGGTGTCCTGTAGCAGAATGAGGAAAGGAAGTCGGATGACACGGCAGTTCAATCCACGGAGAAATTTGGGCCTGGAAGTGTGAGTGGTACATGGCCACATGACTGATGACTGATGCCTGAGTCCGAGGCAGAAGGACATAATTATTAAGCTTCTTGGCATCCACGTGAATCTGGATCACATCCATTTTTGCATATAATTCTATTCATTAAAATTCATCGTGATATCCCCAGCAAGACTAGAGAGCCCCATTTTGAATTGTCTTCCCATCAGTCCATCTCGGCCTATATCTCATCATTCACCTCCGCCTCTCTCTATACACAATCTGCTACCAACATGGATCCATCCAAGACCTACACTTTACTTGTGGGTATACCGAACCATAAGAGTGGCTCACGCCATGTCGCTGATTTCTCTCTAGACTGGCATCACACCTGGGTCGACTTCACTCACCAAGTCGCCCAACGGCTCACCCATCATGTCGTTAACCAAGTCGCCCGCTTAGTTTGCCTCCCCATCATCAGTAAGAACATCCCAGTTGCCGTCCAGGGTTGAGTTGAGTAAGTAGCCAAATTAACATGTCTTTGCCATTTTACCGTTCCTCCAGGCTGGACTACTAGTCCCGCAAGCCCAGCGTACAAAGAATAGTGAGAGGACCGCCAAATCGGAGGGTTTGATGATAGCGCAGTACTGTATTACTCGACTAGAAATGCCGACCCTGGAGGATGACGATGCCTATGAAAAATTTTCCCGATCTGGCAACATTTTCCATCTGTGGGACCAGATGCAGCATGATATGTTTGAGATCGCCTCTCGGCATGTGCACTCGATTGCTCGTATCGTTGCTGAGAAAGGACCCAAGGAAATACGTAGGGAAAGCGTGCTTCTCTTTCCTGAGTAAGACAGCCCGTCCTATCCTGACTAGGCTTGAATGTCACTAGGGCAGCCTACTCTTTTTAAAATCTCCATGTAAAGCTCCACAGGTATCTTGCATCATGAAAATGTATCTGCACCTAGTCTATAACATATAAGATTCTCCTGCTCAACCACAGCAATAGTGAGGCTATTCTGATAACCTCAAGGGAATGCCCCGAGATTCCTTGTACCGGATTTTGGAATAGTGAGGGTAATAAAAGCCCAAGGCATTTACTGTCCAATTGACCCCAGTTCCCCTCCTGCATTCCGCAGCTCGTTTAGTTCTATATTCATTGCTCATGTATTTCTAACTATGGGTAATGCTTCCCAAAGCTCTAACCCACCTTATTGTCAGACATGCTACTCAGGGAACGAGATACTCGCCATGGGGATGTAAATAATGGGCTGACGTAACGGTTCGCGACCCGAAGATAGCGCTTATGTTTGCTTTACCAGTGGCTCTACTGGCCTCCCTAAAGGGGTGCTATGCGCTCATATGGGGATTGTAGCATTTTAAAGAGACTATGAGGGCCGAATGAAGGTAAAGCCAAGCCGCAAGGTTGCTCAAGTGACGTCTTCTTCTTGTGACGGCAGCATTCATGAAAAAATTTGCTGCTCTTACCTATGGTGGAATTCTAGTTTTGAACGATTTGAAAGATCCGGCTGCTAATCTAAAGCATGCGGATGTCACTCTATTGACACCCTCTTTCGCTCGTATACTGAATCCAACTGATTTCCCAAATATACGTGCAGTGAGGCTACCTCAATTTCAAACTCGGTTTCCAACCTTCAACAAAGAGAACATGTGCTACGCAGGTCTTTTTAGTTGGAGAGCCCTAAACGCGAGAAATTGCTAATACTTGGGTCTCTGCCCTTCCGACGTACATGTTGATCATGTGTGGCCTGACAGAGACGTTGGGTCAACCTACAACCGTATATATCGGTTCATGTGTTTTTAATGTTATAGTTATACCATTGACTATGTTTGATTATAGTAGACCTCTTTTTATGACTACTCGTATCATGATGGGTTTATGGGCTATACCCTTGTATGTCTTCGCAGTTCCGTTTCTTCTTCCTCTTCTTCTTCAATTTTTAAGATGTAAAAGTTCAAGCAATCTGGCATCTAAGTATCTTCTGCACGCAACGAGCTTGTGACGGCGCCTTCTGCAGTAGAAACTTCGCCACTTAGGGATGCCCTATACTCGCTGCATTTTCAAGTCTCACCACCTTTTAAATATGCACTGTCTTTCAAAAGCACACCCAGACTTTATTTCCAGCCCCTCGAAGTGCTACCACATCAAGACCTATCGGCCCTGTTTCTTAAAGCGAGCTGAATTGGAGGAGCATGCCCTCTTTAAGTGATCTTTATATATTCCAAAAATTGGATCTGTTAGAGATACTAGAGATCTAAGATGAATGTAGATGTAATTGGAAATCTCTTGATGCGTTGAGAGAGAGAGAAACTATCTACATGCTAAGACTGAGACTAAGTACTGGGAGCAAACAGGGGTGGTCACGTGACCTTCCAACAGTATCAGTGTTGACCTTTCTGGGTTTCTATTTCACAGGAAAAACTTTCTTCCAATTTTTTCAACAAAGAAGACACAATCTCATCTAAGTTATAAAGAAACTATGCTAGCTCTAAGGCTAGTGAAGGAGATGATAGAAAGTCTTTGTAAGAAAATTATAGCAATAGCGACTAGTTGTTTGTGAAGGCATTCAGTTAACAAAGGCTTTGTTAATCCGCGTTGAAAACGTATCATTTTTAGCTTATTTTGTAAGCTACGAGTCAATAGACTCGAGGGATTCCTATAAGAAGGACCAAATCCTTACTCATAGTAAACTCGATCATCACAGCAAACACTCTTCAAGACACTCTTTCCATTGCTGTAGAATTATACTCCTACTTTTTTACACATATCAATCCCCCTAGCAACCTTCGATATCGCAACCATGCCTAGTCGAGGACTAACCATACGTTCCCAAGGACACAGCACACCTCGTGACATACGAAGCAATCACGATAACCGTGAGCTCTACGTTCAGATTTGCACACCAGGGCCTGACGGTGCCATCCATTGGATGATCGCCATGAGGTATCCAGGTTCTGACCGTTGCACCCGGCTCCACAGCACCGGTTGCATAGGGGATCGTAGATTGGATATCGAGCATGGCAAGAGATTTGATAGCCGATCAGTCGAACACACTCACTTTCTCGGTAAAATTTGTGAAAGAGACAGTACCATTGTCGAAAGAGAGGCTAGAAAGATTCCGCTACAAAGCTGCCAACTCTGGGCTTGTTACCTAATTCTTAGACTTGAGCGCAGGGGACTGCTCGAAAAAGGGAGCTACAATCATTACATGCATTGTTATGAGCATATTCTTGATGAAGACTATGGGCCAGGACATGACGGTCTATGCCCGATCCATGGACATTAAGTATGAATTTCTTTCTCTTTTTCATCGTCAGATTTTCCACTTGATCTGTTTTGCTATCCTTTCTTTTTTTCGGGAGTTTTTTCTTTTCATTTTTGCAGGATTTTAATAAATCCCGATAAAAAGAAAACCTAGAAAACAGATTTTCTAGCTTCGTATGTTCCTCGCTTATGGTCGTAGAGATGATGACAGTAGTCGTGATCTAGTCGCGTATGGTGATATCAAGGTACAGCACATCCTTAGAGAGGAAAAAACAAGCATTTTCTTCTCATTGAACTACCTCGCTGCCCAGGACTCCTATGTGCTCTAGGGTTGGTTTTTAAATACCCACCGAAATAATGACCACGTAACCCAAGCGGCATTGAGTACAAGGGATTTTGGTGAGAGCTCGGGAGACTGGGCTGAGGGCTGAGAACGGGGTGACAATTTTCATGCACGGAGCGAGACGGGTCAATTCACTTGGAGCGTGTGCCCGTCATAGGCAAAAGCCAAAAGCCAAAATTTGAATCACTGGGGCGGTTCTTTTGCTCCGCTGTAGTTTGCTTTGATTTGCAACGTCCTCAAAAACATGTTTCAGAAAGAAATAAAAGAAGCATTCGAAGAGGATATCGCGCGTACTGTTTAACCTGGTCAAAATGAGAACTAGGCGAAGATGATTTTATCTGCGACAGCGAGCTAGCGCCTGCTATATTGAAAATTTAAGACTATGCAGCACTCAAGTGGGCTCTATAAGTTTGAAGCTCACACTTTAGTGGACTGACCGGATCAGATGTATTCAAATGCCGTCGAGTCGGGATGTCTGATAAATCATCACGCTACAACTAGTAAGGTTCAGATAAAATTGGTAAGGTCTGCAACAAAGATGAGACGCTTATAAACTAGTGACAGTACTTTTAAGTTTGACTTTGATACTTGAAGATGGTACGGTTTAAATAACTCTGTTGACCACTTGGGTAACGTACTCGATAGCTAAGCGAGTGTAGGCCAGCTGCGTGGCTCAGAACATACAGTATTGGCAATTCACTCATCACTTGCATTTCAACCAACTTTTAATTTTTGAAATTTGTAGTGTTTAAATGGACTTCGAACATATCGAAAACTAGCAAAAACACCTTGCTAAACTCTTGTCTTGAGTATAAAAATCACACCAGTCCCTCCTTTACAAACACCCCCTTGGGTGTAAGGTTCCTATATTTCAATAAGTTGGGTTACAAAGGAAATTTGATTCCCAGGAACAGTTATAACTACACCGTCATGTTGTAGTACATCACTTTTGCTATACTTTTAGCAGTTTGAAAGCTATGTTGACAGCCGACGGAATTTCAAAAGTGTGAAGTAAGAATAACATTTTTCTCTGAATACACACAAGTGAGGGCGGCTGGCCTAATGGTAAGGCGTCTGATTTCGGTTGAGATGTTTCTCAGTGTTTCTCAGAAAATTGCAGGTTCGATCCCTGCGTCGCTCATTTTTGGACAATTTTTTTCAAATTTCTTCCAATAAATTCCTTTTCCTACAACCGTGTCAACACCGACCATATTAGCACAGTCATTACATTGTGTTAACTAAAGGGCAACGTGTTTCAACAGCGATTGGCCACCCCACCCAAACCGCGCTCAGGAAATAGCACTTAATCACGCTCCCAAACCCTGTCGAGATTCGAGGGAGTGAAAGGGTAGGTAGTATTTTATTAGCTATCTGGGCTTTTAGGAACCAAGGTATCAGAAATATTATCTTCACCGCGCGTGTTTTAAATGTACCACCTCCGCCGCCGTTTTGCAATGCCGCGCAATTTCTCGGTTACTCTTCTAAATCAACCGAAATTATAGATGAACTAAAGATGAGCCCCCAGCCCCTCTACTATACGAGATAGCGGATCTTCTTCTTGGAACTACCCAATTTCTTTCGGTAGGTATAACTTAGATTGTAAACGTTATACAATGACGTCCTATCCTCTTCTCTCGGTCCTCTAGACGATATGATGATGAGTCGTGAAGTTTAAAGACCCAAGACTTGTCAAGTGGTGGTTTAAATACATTAAAAGAACCCCCCTCTAATTTAGGATCCACCTAGATAATATTTATAATGTGACTCCAGAGTGTGGAGATGCATCCAAGTCAGTTATATGGACTGCATTGGTTATGATCTTTCAGTCTGATAAACATATGCTCCAAGATACTGGCTGTCATATCTCAACATCCTTGGCGAGACTATTTTCGCAACAAAACAACTATGACTACGAAAGTTGTCAAACATACTCTACACCGAGACACTACTTCTGTAACCTAGAAACCGTAAATAGGGGAACGGCTGGGTGCGATTACTTGATCTTTTGTTTAAAACTTCGCAAGCTTAATTTACTACCGTTACCACAGAACTTTTGCAGTGATTGTTTCTAAGTTTACTGTAAACCCCCTTCACACTACCCCATGCAGGGAACATGGGGATTTACAGAATGTATCGGCGCCCAAATAGACATCTGGTAGCTCCTTATGCTACAGAGGCAGCAAAATAATCTGCTCATTGGAATGGTAGTACTCTTCCCGCAGAACGTAAACATTGAATTGGATTAGTTAACTGATATCTCTCCTACTTCGCTACGTGGGGTTTGAGAAAAATGCCAGTTCCTACGGAGAAAGTCTAATGATATAGTTCATAGGAAAGACACAGAAACAGCGGCAAGTATCAATGGTCGTGAAGTCGAACAAATTCTGATCTACTTTATCTTAAATTTCTCTATGTATTGGAAGTGCCACCATTGACCAAAACACTCTGAAGGCTCCGGCAAAATTTAATAGCGTATCCGAATAAGCTCTAGTCGATTTGCCGCAAGTGAGAAAACTCCATTTTTTTAGACCTAGCAATAGGAGAACCGCTCTCCCAAAAAATGGCCACGTGAATTAAAAAGGCGTAGACGCGATCTAAATCACCTAATAGTAACCAACCTGCGAGGACTTTCCTACTTAGATCTGATCATCCATTTCTTCTACCACATGTAGTGCGTATTCGCGGAACAATAGAAAGCTTTTTGTAAGAGTGAAAGCTCGGGAGAAAAGATGATCTCTCATTCTGACCACTGAGCTATCCATCTAGCTGATGGCGGTCATACATCTAGTTCAGAGTCGTAGTGCTTTTCCTATCCACTGGCTTTCAAGTTTCTTTTCTTCCATCGACAAGTAAAATGAAAGTTCTTTCCGTAATACCCCTTAAGATAATAGACAGTTGTGCCCAAAGCCCGAGAGGAGCCCTGTCCGAATAAACACGTGCGCCGATAGAACCAGATTGAGCATTTTTTTGTGGATAGAATTTGGAAATCAGTCAAAAATTATATAATCGAGGGCGGCTGGCCTAATGGTAAGGCGTCTGATTTCGGTTGAGACAGTGTCTCAGTGTTTCTCAGAAAATTGCAGGTTCGATCCCTGCGTCGCTCATTTTTTTTTCTCCCTCTGTTTTCAGCAAACTCCTGTCATGTCTGACATAAAGCACGAATGAAGACTGTAACGTGTTTCACTACCGAGCTGGCCACCCCAACCAAAACGCGTCTATGAATTGGATCTTAGTTAGTTCAACCACCCACCATGCCACCAATTCGTACTCAATCCTCTCGAAATTCAATAGAGTAGGAGGGTAGGATCTTACTAGCTATCTAGGCTTTTTAGAATCAAGAAATCTCTTCAATTCGTGAAGTGGCGCGCCGTTTTAACGTCCTAAGATCTACCCTTTCTACCCGCCAAAATAGTATATAACACCGCGCGATTTCTCGCGCTAACTCTTTTCAATTAACCGATCCTAAATGTCACGGTGCGAACCGTGATGCTTAGTTAGAGGAAGATCACGGCACGTGATCTCCGACCTGT